GTGATGTTGTAAGAAATTAATTTTATTTTTACTAAAATTACTTTTATTCTTAAGATTAAGCTTTTTATTGCTGGTAATCTTATTATTAACATAATTATGTGATTTCCTTTTGTTATATTTCTTAATCAACAACTAGTTCCATATATGAAGGAAATTTTATATCTTAGTTTAAATCTGTAGATAACTCTTCTTATTTATCCTTAATCTATTATTCTATTAAAGTATTTTAAATTTTAATATCATTAGATTTATGATTAAAATTATTATTATATTCATGAATCTTTGGTTACTCTATAGATTCTTATAGGTGGCTTTAGTTTATTTAAATATCTTTAAATAAGTTGTTTTAATTCTATATAATACTATTATTGAACGAAATATCCTTTTTTAAGGTTGTTAAATTAGAATAATTTTTTGATGATGATTAGTGTGATTAAATATTATTGAACTATTTATTCCTTTTCGGAGTCTTAAATTAAATATTGCTTATTTATGTAGATAATTTAATTTGCTGGTTTAGAATAGTTGTTAATTATTAGATTATCCCAGTTATTAGATTTTGGTGGGAAAATTGTTATTTGAATTTATTTTTTTGTTAAATACAATTACTATGGTATATAGAATTCTAAATCCATTTTGATAGTGTTATAGTATACTCTAATAATTAATAAAGGTTTTAAGTTGACGTTTATAAGTTGTTGCCACCATTTTGTCTAAAATACATTATAAATTAAATATATGAAAGCTTTTTAATAAAAATGTTATTAAATTATTTATGGAAATTCTCTGTTATTTTTACATTTGATATACATCTCTCTTTTACTTTTATTAATGCCTACTCAATGACTAACAATCTAGATTGCTATTTATCAGAAAATCAAATATAAAATTAATTTATTCTAAAATAATTACAATACTTGAATTGATGATATTCTAAATTATACTTATAATAATTGGATATCTCATGTATTATTGGCATAAAAAGATTAGATTGCCGAATTTCAAGTTGGAAACGATTACTAATACTCTACTCTATCTTTATGTTTCTAATTATGGTGGATTGGTTAAAATGTAAATCTAATTTTATTATTTTAAGTATTTTTCTGTTCTCTCAAAAAAAAATGTTTCAAGTTAGAGTTACATTTAATAACATTTAAATTAGAAAACATTTTTGTTATCTAATCAATGAATGCAATGATAGAAATTATTTTTTGGAGGTAAAAAAGTTAATTAAAAAAATAATTATTATTCTAATATTAACTTAATTTGAAACTGTATTCTCTTAATTATGATTAAGATTTTATTAGTTATTAGCTTTTAACAAGAAATCGTATATTCTTTCCAATTTGAATAACATGGATTTAGCTTCTGCACAAATTTGCTCTATTAAAATTTTTCTTTAATTTTCATCAATATCACTTTAAACTTTTATTATTCTTCTTCGTAAAATTAAAATTAATGGTTGTTTAATGTGTGATCCTAATTTAAATAGTACATTAAAAGGATTAAATAAGATTTGTGCTAACATTCTTATAATAATAATCTATTAGATAATTCAATCTGCTAATTTAAAGGTTATATTAAATAACTATTTCACGATCTTCTCAATACTTTATATCTAACTATAGAAATATCTAGCTAAATATTTAACAGAGTTATTTTTTTAGTTTGATTATATTAATAGAATAAACTAAATTATATAAATAATTGAAAGCACTGATGATTCAGTTGGAGCAACTGGAAACCTTAAATCTAATATTGTTTAGGAATCAGCCAAGATTCAGATCATTCTGTAAATCTATTGGTGTATTTTTCATTTTTAGGAGATATAGCTTAATTTATTTAATTTCTTTGCACTGACTTTCATATCCAATTTTTAATGTGTTAAAATATAATTAATATCCACCTAAGATTTAAAATTATATAGTCCTAATAAAATGGATATCTCAAGTTACTCAATTTAATTTATTTCTTAATGCAGATTTCATTTTAAAGCAGTAATTTTGTAAAGTCAAATGTAAAGGTAAAAGAGATAAATTTCAAGAAAAGGAGGGATATTTAAAATTAAAATTTATTCTTTATTTGTTAAAAAGTATTTTAATAGAAATTGAAATAATTTTAATATAAAATTTATGTTTCAATATTATAAATTAAACGTTTTTATTTATTAAAGTATTTTTAGGATAATTATCAAAAAAATTTTTACTTAATATATCTAAATTTATAGTTTAAATCTATAAAAATTTTTTTGATCTTTTCACATTATTATCTTAATCTTTTACTCTGCTTCTAATTATTCTACTAAATTCTTATTCCAATTTAAGTTCAAGAATTTTATATATTAAACACATTTCTTTAAATATTCATTATTAAACAAGCTCAGCGCGTGTGTAAACAAACATTTTTGACAAAATCTAAGAAAGCAGAATTGAAAAAGCGAAGAGCTTATTGAGCAGTAACTGAAAATATAATGAGCTTCAATAAATTATTTTAAAATCTTAAAAGATATCATCAATTTCTGTGTGATACTATGATAAAAATTAATACTGATAAATTAATGTTGCTGTGATTTTTATTATAAATTAAATTAAATTTAAATTAATTAATTTTAAAAGTTTTGATATTAATGCAAGGTAGTTTAAGCATTCTAACAGAACACCAAAAACATCTTTTAATTTTAATATCACTGGAATAAATCTGTTACATTTCCATTTTTGGCGAGTCAGATATGGGAAAAAAGATCTATGCATCTATTCTATTTCATCTTTTAATTTTAATTTTTCTTCAATTCACAAATCTATTTAAAATAGTTTATTTTTAAATATATAATTTATATTTTTATCAGTCATTTTTATCCTAGAAATTCTTTAAAGGTTTCATTTACATTAAAATAGCACCAGACAAGATCTATATTCTATCTGTTACTCAAATACATTTAAAGAAAATTATTTTGAAGTAGACTCAATTTCTAAAAGTATCTTGATTTAATTTCAAAGTTTTGATTAACGTAATACCCAATCTTTTTTTCCTCTAGATTTTATTGACCAAAATTTTGTTGTTTCCAGCAATATAAATGAGAAAACTCTCAAACTTTTTTTAAAAGCAATGCTTTATTTTTATCTAAAAAATTTAATATATTTTCAAGTTGAGGGTACATTGGATAAAAAGTTTATAGTTAGGGAATTCTTGTTGTAAATTGTTTTGATTAGAACATGAGATTTAGTGAATTTTAAAATTCTTTTTTGAAAATACTAAAGGAAATTCCTCTCCAAGATCTTTATTTATAGATTCAGTTTCTACAGCAATATCAAATGGAAAATTTTATTTCTTTTATATATAAATATTTGGCATTATGGATATAAATGATGAATGAATAAATATTATTACTTTTAAAATAATATAAATAACATTTATAAACTTAAAAATGAGGTGCAAACTATATTTTGAGCTTGCCTGTAAATCCTACCTATAATAATTTTTGAGATTTCTAAACATTTTTATAAGTAAGATATAAAATTGATCATAATTAATGATTATTAGAATTTTATTTATATAGTTATGAATATTAACTTTTAGTTAGATTCATTTATCTATAAAATATTTATTTCTAATAGATAATACGTTTTTAAACTTCAATATCAAGTTCTAATGCTGCTCTACTACTCTACTCTACTCAATCTAAATCTGTCTAGTATTTTCTAATTGAATTTATTAAGATACATTCACCAGATTGTAACAGAAAAATCAGTGTAAGGATATTTGGAAGAGAGCTGACTTTTAATGCAAGACACATAGCAGAATTATAGATCCTCATAGAGTTATTTATCAGTCTTTATTAAGCCATTTAATATGCAACTGGATCTTATTTATTTCATTTGATTTTAATCCAGGTTTTATTAAAAATTAAAATGACAATGAAAACTTATTTTAGGGGATTGTTAATTCATGATGCTTTTAATAAATTAATTGTTTTTCATTCTATATCTTGTGTTTTATGTTCTATAAAACAGACTATTGGAATTATGTAATTGATATCATTCAACAACAATCCAAAAGTATTAAATTATAATTAATTTACACTAAATTAATAAACTTAATGCGAAAATAATAGTCAAGAAAAGTATAATAATTTAAATTTATATAGATATGTTTGATTTCATGTAGTTTATAGAAATTATAAGGAAGATTAGAATAAATATAAGTATAGTAAGTGTGATTATTGAACAATTAGGAATAAAAGTTTTAATAGGTAAAATATAAAATTATAAACCGATTAAAAGACTTATATCAACCTCATAAGCCTAAACTGCTACTTAATCTTCTAAACCAATCAGAAATAGATTTGCTTTCAAGAATCACTCAAGCTACTGATTTGATAAGCTAATAAGACTTAAATAATAGATTGAAACAAAAGTAATGGAGGGAAGATGAGTAGAAAGAATTTAATGATCTAATTGATAAAAAGATTTAGGAAATAGAGATATTGGAAGCGGAATTGTTACAATAAACAGGAATAAATAGAAATGCAAGAAGAAACAGAAAGTTATTAATTAATTAAAATATTCTCCTTAGCAGGGATTATTAATAATAAAAATAATAAATTACAATTTTATAAAGATATTACTATATTAATTTAATAAAGGAATTCAAAATTAGTTTAGTCTTAAATTAAATTAATAAAGTTTATTTAATATTACATCTTATCTAAAATTGCTCTTTCATCACTCAATGCAATATCAAATTTACAAAGTTAAAAGAAAGCCATGTATATAGTTTTTATAATGGTTGTCCTTATATAAAATTGTAGTTTGCCATGATATTTAGTTCACTAAATATACTAAAATCAATGATGAGTTATCTATTAAATACACTATTTAATTTATAGTAATATCGATACATTTTTCACTTATCATTTATTTTTCCACTCATATTCTAATAATTATAGAACTTTACTAAAAGAAAATTAAAATCATTTATATATTTATAGAATTCAAGAGTTTTAAAAATTTAATTTAGTTAGAAATATGAACTATTTTAAAAAAAGAACATAATTAAGTATATCATTTGAGTTTCTTTTGTTCTTAGTTGAATTAATCTAAATATTCATCCAAAAACTAAAATAAGTCATAGTATTAAGACTTGATTAGCGACTTTAATATTTAGAAAGTAATTAATAATTTTATAATCAGAGAGTTTTTGATTAGTGTTATATATTAAGATAATGTTAAATTATCTCTAATTTTATTCTTGAAAATTCTCATAAGGGAAAGATTAATGAAATGATGATATTTATATACCTGGATTATGTGAAATATAAATTGCTTCTTCCCTACTTAAATCATCAGCCAAATCAAGAAAATCATAACAATTTTCAATTAAATCAAGGTCTTATTTATTTTAAATTTCTTAATGAAATTTAAGCTTATGCTTTTGAGGAATTATATTTTGAAAAGTTTCCCTAATGTTTATCAACTCTACAGATCAACCAGATTTAACAATAGATTAGTATTGCATTCATAATGAGTCGGTATCCAAGATTCTTTACAAACCCAACAAAATTAATATCCACATCCCACTTTAGTTCTACAAATCATTTTATTATATCCATCTTTTTTTTCTAAGTAGATTGAGCGTTTAGGACATTATGCAAAAAGGTATTTATAGGAAATTATTTTTCAATTCCTTTTAAATCAGATAAAAGTTTTTTCTATTATTCTGCTTAGGCGCAAGATAAAGGTCTATGATCACCATTTTGACAAAGCTTACAATTTAAATATTTACATTAACATCTTATTTTACAATGAACAATCAATCAAATTTAAACATTTTTTTTTCCACATTTTCTTTTATTTTTTAATAAACTAGATAATCTATTATATCAATATATGATAATTTTAAGGAAATGAGTTTATAGATATAATTTTATTAAAAATTTATGGAATTTTATTATAAAAAATTTGTATTGAAATATTATTTGCTTTTTTAATCTTAGATAATCAATTAGTTACAAAAATATTCTATTTCTAATATATTAAAAAGAGGATAAAATCAAAAGGATTATTTTTATACCTTGAATGTGCATTATTTTTTCTTTAAATGTCAATTAAATTGAAATATAAAAATTATATAAATACTTTATACAATTATGGTCGGAGATTATTGATTACATTAAATTAGGATAGATGACATATATATTAAGTAAAATATCTTTAGTTAGAATAATATGTATGTTTGATAATGGATTCTATGATAAATAAGGTGATGGAAATAAGATGCGTTTAGATTGAGTTATCAAATTGATTCTATTCTCCACTTATTGGGGAATACAAAAATGGCAAAAAAAATATTTCGATATAATAAATGAAGTAATTAAATTAAGACTGCTCATTTGATAGGATTCTTTTTCTGAAAAATTAATATATATATTTATCTAATTTGATTTTTAAAAACCTAAATTATTAATTTATGAAACAAAAGAATTGTTCATTAGAATTCTGAAGTAAGATATGCCAATTTTTGCTATTAAAAAAGAGTAAAAATTTTTAAAGGAATATAAGAGTTAATTAGATGCATGTTGAATGTATATATTTATTTAATTTTCAATCATATTATTCTTTAATCGATGAGTAATTTTATTTTGATATGATTGTACAATTTAAATTTATTAAAGAGAAGTAACCTTAAACTATAAAATTCTTCATTTTCAAAATATATTTTGGATATTAATATATTTGATTCATAATATTCAACAATAAAACAATATATTTATTCATAACCCAGCAATATATTTTTTTTTATTATTTAAAAAATATGATTTAAAAATTTGATTCGAACTCAGATTGTTAAGATAATGAAAATAAATGTATTCCTTCCAATAATTCGATTGCTGAGTATAAAAAGTCAAAATTTTATTAATTCACTCAGATCCTTGATTAAAGAAAAACTTTATATTCTGTAATTCATAATTCTTTTTAAAAATACATAAGCAATAACAGCATCAATCTATTCAACAACATTGAATTCTTTTGGAGATTTAATAAAAATTCTTTCTGTTTATTTAAGGGCTTCGTGGTTTTTATGCTACTAAATTCTAGGGATCTGCAATGACTTTTTAAGAATTATATATTCATTCTAAGTATAAAATGAGAATAGATAAATGGATCTAACAAAACAATAAGAATTATTATAAGATTTAGAAGAATTTAAAATATAATTAGGAATTGAAGAGACAAATGTTTGGAATACAGGAATAGAATATGAAATAACTCTTATTAAAATTATGCTAATGAATAGTCAGACAAATTCATAAGAAGGATAGAATCTGTTAAAAAATGCAATTAAAAATTTAGTTTAATCATCTTTGTAAATGTCACCTACTGAAGACTTACTTCCTAGTCTTATTGAAGGAGCTAAATTTCTATTTATATAATACAAAGATAAAGTATTATATCCTTAAGAAGTGTATGCTACCTATTATTTATTCTAAACCCTTAAATGGTCTATTGTTAGGCAATTAAAATCTTAGTATTCAGTCTATAATTAAATTAAATAACTAAAAGATACATTTATGTAATATATTCTAAATTCAGACAATTGGATTATTCATTATAGTTGGATATCAATGATAGTCGATATATTAATATATAGACCAATTCTTTATAAAAGTCAAATTTTAAAAGATTCTAATCCTATTTAATAATAGTCAATATGGAACAATTTAATTGAAAATAACTAAATTATTAATCTTTCATATAGTAGATAATAAGCATCTGTTATATTATTTCAAAATCAAGCAAAATATTTTAGCAAAGAAATAATGAATCTAATGGAATAATAAGGTATTCCTAAATTTAAATTAATATCCGAGTTTCTTTTAAAAGGTTAACTTACTCAATAATTTAATCTTTGGAATTTCTATCAAGATTTTTCTTTTAAAATATAATAAAAACAACCCTTAAAGGATTTTGAGATTGTTTTAGAAAATAATGATTTATTATTATTGGAGAAATAAATTGAAATATTTAATTCTCAATTAGATGAATTAGTTCTTCTTTATTAATAAATCTAAGAATAATTTATTGATTATTTTACATAATCAATTAGTACAGAACTAAATATAAAATTATTATAAGATGATTACTCAGATTTTGAAAAATAATTTTTAGATACATATATTTTGGCATTATATCGTCTCAATTTTATCATAGAAAGATTTACCATTTAGTTTGAAAAATTAAAATTACTCTCTTCTTGTTTTGAAAAACTAACAGCTGAAGTTAAGCAAAATTTAGAAAAAATATTTATTAGTTTAGAAGAATTGATTATGGTCAAAATTTAAGCCTATTAAGAAGAATTTCTTAAAAAATTTATACTAGTGATAGAGTATTTGAGTTATCTTTCTGAAATTAGTTTATATCCACAATCTAAAAAGTTAACTGATTTAGAGATAATAAATTCCAAATTTTAAATATAGATTTATTTGAATTTTTAATAAAATTTTGAATAATTTTCAATTTTTTAATAGTTCATACTCAATACTAAGTAATTTTAATAAAAGTGTTCTTTTTCAATGTTCAGTATTAAAAATAATGATTATAATATTGAAATAAAATCTGATTTAATTTTAGCTATGTCAAATACTATATGCTAAGGAAAATGGATTAAAATATTAAGTAATTCACTAAGTATTCATTTTTTAGATAGATTTAATTTATATCAATAAAATGTTAAAAGTAAAGAGGATATTCAAAAAAATTAAATAAATTGCATCTTTAGCTTAAAAATATTGAAACTAATTAAATAATTCTGCCATATCCACTAATATAAAATTAATACATTTGACTATTAAATTAATTATGAAAAAATCTAAGTAATTCAAGAATAAGAATAAATTAATAAAAATTTTAACTAAATGATAATCTAGTAGTTAACTTAGTAACAAGAAAAAATAAATTTTATTTCGAAATAAAATAATATTGATAAAAATATCAATTTAATTAAAGAAAAAAAAAATAGCTTCTTTAATAAATAAAGTAAGATTATAAAACAATCTTAAATGGATATGAAAATATTGTTTGCGGAAATATTTAAGCAATAAAATCATAAGTTAAAAAATTCATGCAAGATGCTCAAATATTTATTGCTTTATAAAATTAGAATGAAAATTATGAAGTTGATGCTATACATACTTAATTGTAAAAATATGATGATATTATTTCTTAAATTAAAAATAATTAAGAAGAATTTACTAAAAGTCTACTAACATAAGAGAAAAAAAGAACTTTCTAAGATTGGGTTAGAAAGAATAAATATTTAGATTTCTGTCATTTTTGTATAGATTGACATTTACGGGAGATAAAGAATACAAATAAATTATTAAAATTGTTAGAATAATTGTTAGTGATAAATATAGATTAGCTTTAATAAACTGATAATGAAGAAATTTAAGAGCATATAGATAATTTTAATACAAAAAGGGAGCAAATTTTTAACAAATTCAATATTTAAACTTAATTTACTAATTTTATTGAAATTTTGAAGAGAAATAATTAATCTGAAAGTTGCAAATGTAACTTTTAAATTGAGCAATAAAATTAGAAAATTGAATCTAATTTACAAGAAACTTTAGATTTCTTTTTATTAAAATAACAAAATTAAGAATAAATATCTCAAAAGTTAGACCCATTATACTTAAAATTGATAAATAATCTTTAAGAGTAAGTAACTATAAAAAAGTCAATATTTGATGTATTTGATCTTAGCAACGATTATAAGATTAGGGAATGTTTAGTTTATAATTTAATAAGGCTATAGCAAGGAATTAAAGAAGCATAGATTTAAGAATTTTCATCAAAACTTATTTAACATATTTGGGTTTTTGAAAAAGATTAAAGAGTTAGAAATCTATTAAAAAATAAAGAATTAATTGAAATATAAAAACTCTTTTTCTCTAAAGATATCAAGTCTATATCTGAATAAATAAGATAAGAGATGAAATTTAGAATGAAAAGTATAGAAGGCATTTAATAAGAATTAAGACTTGAGGGCAATTCATAGGTTAAAGAACAACTTAAACAATAACTTATATTAGCCTATGAAGAACTTGAATAATATAATGATAATATTACAGAAATGTCTGAAAAAATGGATATAAGTTTAATATTTTTAAAGGATATATCAAAGGATGTAAAATAAATAAAAAATTAAATTGATAATTTATAAGAAAGTTTAAATTAAGTAGGTGATGATATTCGTAAATTAAGAGGGAAAAGATATGATGAATTATTAGAAATTAGAAAATAAAAGATATTATTTTAATCTAAATTAGCAGAAGTAGATTCTGTTTATGTTTAATTGAAAACAATAGAATATGATCCTGTTAGTGGTGAGAGTAAAAGAGTTAATAATGAAGTAGAAATAACTAAATTAATGAGTGAGTAATGGAATGATTTTACAGGTGAAGTTAATGAATTTATTTGGGATTAATCAAAATAAAACGATGTTATGTTACTTTCAGGAAATGCAGGTTCTGGTAAAAGTAAGGCAGCTAGAAAAATAGAAGAATTTATATGGAAATAATATGGAAATCATTCGAAATGGATTCCTATATTTATATCACTTCCAACTATAAAGAATCCTAAGTACAATTTATTTGAATAAGCTTTAGAATCAGAAAATTATTAATTTGATAAATATTAATTTAGAGAATTTAAAGATGCTATTTAAAATAAAAAAGAATTTATTGTTTTAATACTTGATAGTTATGATGAAATGAAATAAGATTGTATTCAATAAAATCTTATTATTACAAATAAATTAATTCAAGATTTAAATATTGAGTAAAATTAAATATCAGTCAAGATAATCATCACAACAAGAAAAGAAATATTAAATACTTTGGGATATTAAACTTGGTTTTATGGGAATAGCATAAGTAGTTTAAAAGAAGTAAAGATAGAGGATTTTGACGATGATTAAAAAACAGATTATTTAATTTAATATAATGAACTTAGTGTAAAGAGAAAAATAAGAGCTGTTTATGATTTTTTGAAGTAGATTTCATCATAGAATTTTAATTTAGATGAATTTTTAGCTATCTGGTATTAAATTAAGGTAGAAGTTATTTAAAGTATAAAAAATTCTCATTAAACACAATCAGAATCAATCTTTTAAAATTCTTAGAGGGAAGATTTATTAAAAAAAATATTAGTGCATTCTCCATTTAAGTATCTAAAGGATGAGTAAATTACAGGACTTAGAAAAAATTTATCATCTCTGTGGAGTGTTTATAAATTTGAAAATGCCATTAAAAATGTAGGTATTTCTGATTTATTATCGACTCCTTTTATGCTGGAAATTATAGTCTAAGTATTGCCTAGCATGGCAAAACAATAGCAAGGTTCTTTTGATATTAAAAATAGATTTGTTTAAAGTTATCTTAATATAATAAATAAAAATAGCTTATCTAAAAAATTATTAGAAAATTATCAAAATTGTTTAGATTAAAAAGAGAATAATTTAGTGAGCTAACAAATTTTTGATGGAAAAAGATCAAAAATCTAATACAATTAATTTATTGATAAATAAGAATAACAAATGAAGATTTATTAATTTTTGGATGAATTAGAAAGTAAAAAGTTCTTTTAAACTTATTCAATAACTAGTATTCTTTAAATTGATAACTAAAACTTATTAGTTGATAATAAACCTTTTGAAATCTATTCTGAAGATTTAGAATGTGTAGTTTAAGCTTTAAAAATGAAAAAGTATACTATATTTGAATTCTATGACAGTTTTATTCATTTTTATCATGATCAATAAATTTAAAAGTTAAGGGAGACTGGTAAAATTTCAAATTGGGAAAGTTTTAAAGTAGATATTTTATAATTTTCTTCAAATTTAGCATTAGACATGATAACCAATGAATTATCTTAAATTACATATTAATAAAAAGGAAAATTAAAATTGACAAATAATTATAATTATAACAAGTATTAAAACAAAGATGATTGGATTGATGAATATTTTAATGATTCATAATAAGAACTTGATTATAATAAATTAATAAGAAGTTGTATACTGTTAAATGCTAAAGGGAGTAACTTTTCTTTTACTCATAAATCTATTTAAGAATTTTATGTTGCTAAATATATATTGGATTAATTGCTTTAGTTCTGTAATTAAGATAATTTAGATAAGAAATATTCAAAAAGATTAATAGGATCATTATATAATTAATCTAAATTAAATATTTCAAAAGATCATTATAAAGGAGTCTTAATTTTTATATAAGAGAAATTAAATAATGTCGAAAAAATAAAAGACATTCTAGTTAATATAGTTAAACTTTCTACTGATAATAAATTCATAAATGCAGCTTCAAATAGTTTTTACTTGTTATCTTATTCAGATGTATATCTAGGATATGAAAATTTTCAAAACATTAATATATGTGATACAAATATTTCAGGCTTAAGTTTTTGTTGTTCAGATTTTAGTAAATCTAAATTTTAGAATGTTAATATTAATTCTTGTAATTTTAATTATGCTGATTTGACAGATGTTGAATGGAATGATGTATAATGTAAAGAAAAACCATTTTTATAAAAAGATGAGGTGATAAAAGTAGTTAAATTTTCTCCAAATGGGAAATTAATTGCATCAAATGGATATGGCAACTTAGTATTACTTTGGGATGTGGAAAATTATTAAGAAATATTAAAATTGGATAGCCACAATGAAAAAATACTAGCAATTGCTTTTTCACCTGATAATAAAATTTTAGCTTCTGCTAGTTAGGATAAAACTATAAAGTTATGGAATATTGAGAATCCTGAAATTAAATAATTGATTAATACATTAGACTATCACGATTATCCAGTTACAGATATAAAATTCACTTAAGATGGAAAAAAGTTAGTTTCAATTGATAATTCAGGTATGTTGGTATCTTGTAATTTTGATTTGACTACAGTAAAATTAGATGACATTATATTTATGTATGAATAGGAAATCTTGGTATAAACTTGCAGTTAAGATGATAAATTGATTGCGATAGGATTAATTGATTCTAGAATTAAAGTAGTTGAAATAGAAACCAAGTATGAAAGAGATTTAATAGGACATACAGGAATTATTAATTCCTTAGCTTTCAATAAAGATGGAAGTAAATTAGCATCTGCATGTAACTATTTACTATTATTATGGGATTTGAGAAATTATTGTAAATGCTAAATTTTATCATTTCAAGAATATTCAATCTAATATTTAATTATAGTAAATGAAAGAAAAATACTCATTGGGGCTTAAAATTATTTGGCTTATGGAGAATTTTAGTATGATTCATCAGCTTATTTTACTAATATATAATAATCTTATCCTGTTCAACTATTTCCTAAATCTAATTTTGCTTTTATTTTGTAAGGAGAGAAAATTGATATACTTGATTTAAATACTTAAACAATTATTAATAGTATATTTTTTGAAGAATTAATTTCTGAAATTGAACTTGATAGCAATGAATAGAGATTAAAAATTTTACCTACAAAAAATTTATAAAATGTAAGATTTCTGGATATGAATACTTTTTAGGAAATATTTCTTTCTGAAAGAGAATAAAATAAAATTTATTAATAAGATCTAGTATTTGAGAAATGTTATAGTGAAATTATAATATATGATGTAAAGAATTAGAATATTGATGAATCAGATAATTCAGATTGTTTATTTGATACTCAAATAACAGAATTTTCATTCTAAACTAATTTATAATTATTGGCTTGTAAAACTCGTTAATCTTATTATAGAAAATCTTTTTTTATTTTATATGATTATAAAGAAAAAAAGCGTTTAGATTATGATATTCAAAATATAGAAATTGCTAATAAAATAGTCTTTTCTCCTATCAAACCTATAATGTCCATTATTTATGAAGATGGAAGTTTATATTTTTGGAATATTAGTAAGCCTCCATTTGAATATTAGATATTTAATGAAATTGATAAGAATATTAAGGTATAATAAGTAAATTATTCGCCAGATGGTTCATTATTAATTATTTCAACCAATGATAGAAAAATCAGAATTTTAGATGAAATAAATGGATCTAAAACTAAGATATTAGAATTTGAGTCATACATTTATAGGGAAATTTAAGTATCATTTGATAATGAGACTTTGGCTTTGTATAACAATAAACATATATTATGGAATTTAACTAAAAATGAAGAAATATTATTAGAAGATCAAGATTCATCTTCCTCTGACTCATTATTTCTATTTTGTCAAGATGGAATATCTTTTGCAATTTTAGCTGAGGGATGGTTAAGATTATGGAATAAAAATACAGGAGAGAAAATCAAAAATTATAAATTTCCTGATTTTGAATCAATTAAATGTATTAGTTTCTCTAAAGATGGCAAGTTCTTTGTGACTGCTGGAAAATATATTAGAATTTGGAGATATTCTGAAAATTATATTGAATAGATTAGCGGATATTGCCCTAAATTTAATCTTTATCAATCTCAAGTTGAAATTAGTAAATTATTTTTATTTGATAATGACTAAAATCTTATTTATATTATGGATGGATATTTAAAAATTAGTGCTCTATCAAAATTTCATTTAAAGTGTATAATTCCTACTTAAAAAAGTTTTGTTTAATTTTTAACAAATGGATATCTCGTCATTGCAGAATATTTAAATGTTGAAATTTTTGATTGGAAATTATAGAAATCTATATAAAAATTTAATGATAAAATTGTAGAGTTCTTTTAAGATAGTTTACATTGTATAACTATAAATTATTAAACAATTATTAAGATGAACATTTTTACGAAAGAGGAAATCTTTAAAATAGATATTTGTCAAGAAATTAATAGAGCCAAGCTTAGCTAAAATGAAAAGATTCTATTTTTAGAATGTAAAAATATAATAAAACTATTAAATCTTGAAGACACTTTCAATATATATGAATTTGGATGTTATACAAATAATGCTATATAGGAATTAACTTGGTCAAGTAACAACGATTATATTTGTTATAGACCTAATTCTGATTTTGTAATTAGAGAAATAAAAACCTAATAAAAAATCAAATTTACAATTCTAAAAGATAAAGTGTTATAATTAAATTCTTTTGATTCTGAAAATAAAATATTATTACAAAATTAGAATGGTTCAGGCATCTTTAATCTTGAAACTTAATAATTTGAAGTATTCAAAAAGGAATTTTAATAATCAATAATTTCATTTAATGGATAATTAATTGCATATTAAGAGGGTGATTATAATAGATCAATAAAATTTTATGACATTCCAAATGATAAATAGTTGACTGTGCTTAATGATAATTATACATATCCTATTCAATTTTCAAAAAATTGTGAATTTTTGTATGGATATAAAAAGAATGAAAACAAAGTAATAATATTTTCTATTGATGAATAAAAATAATTAAAAAAGCTTTGCTCTTTATAATTTGGATCAAACTGTAAAGAAGTGTCAATTACTCCATCTTTTGGTTATCTAACTGTCGGACAATCAAAGTTACTTAAATTAATGAATTTGAATTGGATATTAAAAGCTTAAATGTTAATTATTAATGAAATGTAACAAAGTGATTAAAATAGTAATTCATTAGTGATATCTTATGATAACACTAAAATTATCACAGTATTTAAAAATATTCGAATATATAGATTAGATTTAGTAGAAGAATATATTACTAGAAAAGTTGAATTTATTATAAATTGTTTTGTTGAAATTGATAAAAACACACTTTGTATTGGTTAAAAGGAATTCATATAATTAATTAATCTTGATAAATAAGGTAATGACACTCTATTAGGGGAACATGGCAGAGAAATAACAAGTTTAAGTTACTCTTAAAGAACATAATTATTAGCATCTGGAAGTAAAGATTAAAAGATATTTTTATGGAATGTTAATGCTAAAAAGAAAATAGCAGTATTTGTAGGTCATATAGATATTATCAATTAATTATCTTTTTCACCTGATAGTAAATGTTTGGCTTCTGCAAGTGATGACAAATAAATTAAATTATGGAATATTGAACAAATTGAATAATCAAAAGTATCGAAAGGACATTAAAAATGTGTAACTTAAGTTGCTTATTCAAAAGATGGTTTAATTATTGCATCAAGTAGTTTTGATAAATCAATCATTTTATGGGACTTAATAGATAAGAAATTTATCATTATGTTAAAAGAACATTTAGCTTCTGTATTATGTTTAAAGTTCTCTTATTGTTCAAAATGGTTGGCATCAGGAAGTAAAGATGAATCAATTTGTTTATGGGATGTTAAATTTCCACATGAGACAACTTTATTTTATAAAATAAAGGAGATGTATTTAAAAACATATGAAATATAATTTAATCCATCAGGATGCTTTGCTACTATTTCAAATGATACAGGAAAATATGACGAAAATTCAGAATAGGAAAAAGAACAAGTAATAATTACTAAAATTTCAATTTGGGATTTGTCTTTAATTGGTAAGAAAGATTAAAATTTTGAAATTTAAAAGTATTCTCCTAATCCTATTTGTATATTTGGTGATAGTATTGTCTTTTTAGGTTATAATAAATTAATAAAAATTTATGATTTATCAAAAGACTAAAGGGAAAATCTTGAAGGACATTTGAATGATGTTAAGATTATTAAATCTTGGTCTTCTGGACAAAAATTATTATCACTAGATATAAATAACATTATGATTTTTTGGTAACAAATAAACAATATTTGGAAAAAGTAATCACAATTTTTATTTAATTCATCTATTTCTGAATTTGATATAATTAAATTAGATTATGAAGAATACATAGTATCAATGTATAGTGATTTAATAATTATATCAAATTTTAATTTATTGGAAAAATAAAAACCTTATATTGAAATAAATGATGGAAATTCTATTTCAAATAGTTTTCTATCAAATAATGAAAAATTTTTTATTTTATTAAATTAATCTAATGAAATAATACTATTAGATAGTGAGACAGGGCAAATTAAAAATAAATTAACTAATCCTTACTATTACCTTAATACTAAATAAGTTAAAGTATCCAATGATAATAGATTTATAGCAGTTTCTGATAATTAAACAATTAATATAATTGAAATCTTTGAAAATAAATACTAAGAAATTCCAGATCTAGGACAAAGTGTGTAGATTTTTGAGTTTAACTGGAATGATTCAAATATTTTATTTACAGTGTCAGACAATTACATAATTAGAAAGTGTGACTTAAAAAATAAATCTAATGAAATTATTATGGAATATGCAAATTCTTATACAGAGACTAATTTTAGTTTAAATTTTTCTAAACAACTCAATTATTTAGTTTATTCATACTTTAATAGACCAATTACCTTAATTAATCTAAATGATAAAAAAAACTATTAAATACCAATTTAAGGTTTGTATGGAATTGCAACTATTTCTATTAATGAAATTTTAGTTGCTATATCCACATCAGATTCTATGATTTATTTATGGAATCATGAAAAAGAAATTGTAAAGGAAAATAATTTGATTTATAAAAAAAAAATTATTAATTTAACATTTACAAATGATGATACTGAGTTAATTTGTTCCTTCCAGGATTCAATATGTGTATATTATATTTAAGAAGATCTTTAAATAAAATAAAAATATTTTTGGAAGATAGATAATTCTACAATTTATACTTTCTGTCCTAAGCATTTATCAATTTTAAAAGTAGTTCATGATCAAAATGCATATATT